GCTGCATTTACTTATTGATCCATGAGGTTTGATTTTCCTTCTGCAGAATATAAACAAGACTAAACCTGGAAGGACTTTAAGTGCTGCTGAAGATGAGATTGTGGATCACGGCTGTCGTAGCTTTAGTAATATTTCTGGTTATTTTGTGTAATTTGCTTAAATGTCTGATGAGTGTGATTAATGTGATCAGTGTGTGTTCTGGATGTTTCCTTTCCTCTGACTCGTCAGTGCTGAGCTGCTGAGCTGCTTGTTCATGTGAATGATCCGACCAGGAGGCAGAGAATAAAACATTCATTCATTCACAGCCTGGAGGCAGGTTGACTCCACAACGAACCGGTCGGCCTCTGACCTCTGAGCAGTTTCTGGATGTTTTAAGTCTCATTTTTACTCGCTGTGGCTCATTTTTCACTTCAGTCTAAAGTCCTGAACCTGGATGGACACAGAGAACCAACTCTGAGATTATTTAGGGTTCAGAACTTCACCATTTATCCGACATTTAGTCACTTCTTCTTCTTCTATCATCCTGACAGCCGCTCTGTGTTTTCACCGGACCGGAGCGCCGGCAGCAGAACCCAGAAGTGCCGACCGTGAAGCGAAGCCGCCGCGTCCTGGTGTTTGAGCTGAAGATGTGCAGCGTCTCGTTAAACCAACAGCAAACAGACGAGCTCCGCCTGAACTGGTGCGACTGGAAATAATGAGCAAACACTGGAGGAGCTTCGTTTCCACGCCGAGCTCGACTAAATATTAACACGTTCACAAACAGCGTCAGACCGGGACACCGTTTGGTGGATTCATCAATAAAACGTCAGAAAAACGTTGATCAGTGTTTGTCTGAGACGAAAATGTTTTGTTTATAATCAGTTTAGAGTCACAGCAGAGCAAAGAAACCAGAAAACGTTCAGTTAGGACGCTGCAAACACAGAATCAGAGGTTCTATATTAAAATATGACCCAAACTGATTAGACAGTTATCAAAATATTGAAATATATAAACAACTTCTGGTGTTTTTGGATGATATATAAATACTTTTTTTTTTTTAGATATTTCATAAATATATTTTCAGACATTTTGATAATATTTTCCAGAATTTTTAAAATAATTTTGGATATTTTATTGGTAAAATTTTACTTAATATTTTGCAGATATTTTTTTATTAATGCATGATCTTAATTTTAAGCTCATTATTACTAATATTATAATATTATGAATAAAATGTTTGCAAAATATTAAGTCAATAATAATTGTAGATAAATGTATGAATAATTTTAAAAAGATTTTCTCAATAATTTTAAGATATTTCATGAACACATTTTTAGTATTAAATATTTTTCACACATTTTCTAAGTAGTTTTAGATTTTTTTTTCTTTAAATCAGGAATTTTATTTTTATTTTTAAGCATCTTATTAATCATTTCAGACATAATAGTGTTATTAATATTTTTCTGCCATTTTTCTTAGAATTTCATTAATAATCTTGAATGTTTTATTAATGAATTAGCTGTTTGGTTTATTAAATGTCTAGAATGTCTGAAAAATGTTGATCAGGGAGTTTTTTCTAATAATAATAATAATGTCTTGTTTTGTCTCCAACTCAAACACGTTCAGTTTACCGACAAAGAAACCAGAAAATATTCACATTCAACAAGCTGCAAGCTCAGAATTTAGATGTTTTGTCAGAAAATGACTCTAAAACTAATCAATCAATCAGGTTTCTGTAAAGGTCCTTAAAGATGGATTGAGTTCGTCGTCACTGATTAATGAAAACGATTCTTTACTGAAACAGCCTCTGATTGAGTCTGAAAAAAATGCAGCGACGGACGACGACGTCACTGCTGGACGTGGAAACTACGTCACAGTAACACAATATAACACACACTAACACACACACACACTAACACACAGCAGCCCAGTGAACAGCGTCTCAGTGTGTCCTCGCTCATTCCAGACATTTTCCGGCCTCCTTCCTGAACAATCCTCTGTTTCCTTCTCTCTCCAGTTTCCATTCGTCCCGACTTTATTTCCTGCAGCCGTTTTGTCCGAAACATTTCAGGAAAATGTCGGTTTGAGTTTCTATGAGCTCGTCAGGAGACAAACGTTTAATTAAACTTCTTCCGTTTGTCTCCACCTCCATGTTTGAAGAAGCTGTTTGTCGAGTCGGTCGGATGATTCGTGGTTCGGACGCTCAGAGACGAAGACATCAGCTGATGTTCCAGCTGATCACAATAACAACAATAATCCTCTGTTTTCTGTTTAGTTCAACTCGTTGTTAAATGTGAACACGTTCTGGTTTCTCTCTGTGACACTAAACTGAATCAGACGTTTGTGATGTTGGAGTTTCTGACGTTTCACAGCAAAAACAACTATTATGAAGAAAAAGAGTCTAAAATCACTGATAGAATGTGTGAAAATATGAGTATTAGAAGGTTTACTGTTAAAATGTCTGAGACGATTAAAGAAATGCCTGAAAAATATTAATAAACCAAAAGAAAGTGTATTAATAAAATGACTAAAATATTTCTAAATATCTGAAAAATAATAAAATCTCTAAAATGATTGAGAAAATATTTTTAAAAAAATATGCATTAAATTTTAAACATTTATTATTAACATTTTCAATTCTTCATAAAATGTAAAAAAAAAATAAAATAAAAATAAAATCAACAAAATGTAGCTGTAAAAAGCCAAAATTATTCATAAAAAGTTTGAAAAAAAATAAAATAAATAAAAGGTCTGAAAATGTATTAATAAAATTTCACAAGTTATTGATAAAATGCCTTAAAAATAACATTAAATAAATTTAACATTTGCAAATGTATTAAAATATCTAAAAAAAAATTTAAAGAAAATTCTTATCAAAGCCTGTAAATAAACATTAATAAAATGTCTAAAAATAATAAAAATATGTGAAAATAGCAAATATTATATAATAACAGTAATAATTAAATATTAGAAAAATGTACAACAATAATTATGAGAATGTCTAAAACAGATTCATAAAATAAAAACGATAAAAATAAGAATAAAAATAATAAAAATCGGACACTTAAACTCCTCCACAGATAAAAACAAACAGAGTTCTGTCTGGTTCTGGTCCGACACGTCGATGTTCTGACCTCTGAACTCTCCTCCCTGCAGTTATTGAAACCGAACCGAAGCTTTACCGTCACGTCAGACGTCTTACCGTCCGAGTCCTGAACCTCCAGAACCTGCTCTGATCCAGATCCACCGAGGAGGAGGAGAACTGTCCTGGTTCTGGTTCTGTTCTGACGACTCGCCTGCCTCTGCCTCGTCTCTCCCTGCACTAGCCCCGCCCACTTCCTCTTGTATGACTCACGCCTACTTCCTGTCTGTCGTCATGCCGACACCCCCCCTCCTCCTCCTCCCAACCCTGAGGGGTCCAATAAAAACCACCACAGAAGAAGAAGAAGGAGCCGAATGAAGGAATGTGTGTTGTGTAATAACACACAATTACTTAATGAGCATCAGAGACACACACACACACACACACACACACACACACACACACAGCTGATAAACAACCCTCCTTCACAATAAAGACGCCAAATTAACGAGCTGATAATTAAGAATAAACTGATGAAAATCATTCAGAATTGATCAGATAAACGTCTGAACATCTGCTGATAAAAATGATGAAAAACAAATTAAACGTCTGATAAACACGAGTTAAATATTATTAACATCTGAACTGAAAAGTCGTTCAAATTAATCAAATATTTTATAATAATTAACGTCACTAAATCTAATTATTACGCGTCCAAAACATAAAAACAAAAAATAATTTATTTCAAAATTATAAAAATCAATAAAATGATCATTTAACTGTCTGATATCTATAAATAAAAATAAACGGATCGAGTTTATAAAAATATTAATTCAATTTTTTAATTTAATAAAATATCTGAAAAATGTCATGAACATTTTAAATGAACATTTACTAATAAAATGTATTTTTAAAAATGTAAATGGCATAAAAATGTCAATGAAATCTGAATTAAATGTCTAAAATATGTGAATACATTTTTTGATTTAAATATTTTAAAAAGGTTTAAAGAAATATTCTAAAAAATGTTCATTTAACGTCCAAAATAAGTGAATAAAATGTTTGATAAATACGATCAAACGGCCTCGACACTCTGCAGCTACCAGCAGTTCTGACTGAGCTCTGAGCTGAACCAACGTATTGATCAGCTGATCACTGCTGACCTACAGCAGATCGTCTCTGACTCACAGTTTCTCATCAAACATGAATTCATTTGTTCCTGAAGCAGCTTTTATTGAACTCGTGTCGGGACTACTTTGAGCGGCGGATGGATCCAGGTGAGCGTCTCAGTGCTTAAAGACTCACCGTGAAGCTGTTGTTGACGTTCTTGGTGCTCGACTCGGCGACGCTGGCGTCCGTCAGGTCGACCTCGTCAAAGATGATCGACTGTGGAGGCAGAAAACGCCGATCAGCCACCAATCAGGTAATCAATCAGCCTCTCTGTGCTGCTTTTCTGTGTCTCTGGACTCTTACTTTGGCGGTCTGGGCGTAGTACAGCGTCCTTCCTCTCAGCTTGAAGTATCGTCTCTTCCAGCGCTGGAACGAGTTCGTCTGTTTCAGCAGGTTTCCCTCCTTCAGCACCGTCTGAAACCAGAAAACGAAGCAGGTCAGACGCCTGGACGAGGCCTCGCTGAGCGTCTTCCACCTTCTGTTAACACCGAGGAGCTTCTCTCGTCTGAATCTGAACTTTACAAAAACGTTTTAATCCTCTGGAGCCCAAAACAAACAAAATAAACAAATGACTCCATTTATCAGCCTGAAACCGTAAAAACTGAAAAGAACTGTTGGAACTTTAACTTTCAGACGGTCCTTGAACTTATCATGACTCAGTTCATCCATCATCTCTACACCTTAATCCTCACCAGGGTCATGGGGGGCGGAGCCTATCCCAGCTGACTCAGGGTGAAGGCAGGTTCACCTGGACAGGTAACCAGTCTATCACAGGGCTACACTTAGAGACAGACAACCAAGCACACTCACATTCACACCTACGGACAATTTACAATCACCAATTAACCTCAACATGTTTCTGGACTGTGGGAGGAAGCCGGAGAACCCGGAGAGAACCCACGCTGCACGGGGAGAACATGGAGCCTGAACCATGGATCCATCCTTAGACAGACCTTCTGGGATCAACACCAGCCCTGGTTTAAATGTTTTGATCCATTTTCAAGGTCCAATAATGACAAAACATCATCATCCTGAACACGTTTTAGCTCATTTAGACACATTTGAGCCATTTTTACTGATTTTGGAGTCAAAACGTTGCTGACTTTGTCGACCAAACTCTTTGTGGAGCTACGAGGTCACCTTGATTCCACTTCTCAACCAGCAGAGACCTGAACTCCTGCAGGTTTCAGTCTTCTCTGTGAGCTCGACTCCTTCAGTTCAGAGGTTTCAAACGAACCCTCCGACCTGAGCTGGACTCTGGACGCTGGACGGTTCCCTGCAGCCTCCGGCTCCGCGGCGTCGGGCGAAAGAAAACTGGACGTAATCTGCAGCTTTTCCTGGAAAGAGCTGCGGGCGGCGGTTTAATCGTCTTGTGATGCAGTCGGACAAAAGCAGCCATTCAGAGGCTTGACTGAAGAAACTCTGAAGCTGCACAAGGTTTAAACATCACAGAAATCTAAAGGAGGCTCTTAGACGCAGCTGTTTTATATGTCGTGCAGTTCATATATTTAACAATCCAAACGGTTTCTGAACTGAAAATGTTCTGGCCCGTCGGTGGAGGAACCGGCGACGCTTTGAACCATTAATCAAAATAATAAAACGCAGTTTAATTAATAATAACGTTAGTTCTGATCGTGGCGAGTTGTTCTAACGTCTACCAGCCGAGTCTGACCGTCCACAACAAACACTACTGAACAGAACTCGTACAGCTTCTATTCCAGATGTGTCCAACATCGTTCTGACCAGTTCTAACTCGAGTTAGGAATCTAAAAAGAACAATGTGCTGCACTGAGGGGAATTAAATATATACAACTAAATCTAATAAATGTGTAAAGAACACACAGAAAAATGTCGTGATCTGTCCTGCAGGCACGAAGGAAGAATGTGGATTTCTGAAATGTTCTTTTCACCAGATTGAAGTCCAGATATCTGCTGAACAGATCCAGTCTGGCTGTTAAACGTCCAACCAGCTCCACGTAATCTAATCTATTTTTCATTTATTCCAGCAGCTCAGCTCATGAAGCTGCGGTTCAGAATAAAACCTGCTTCTCATGCTGAGCTTCGTGAGGTTTGTTTTAGCTATTTAAAGGCCACAAAGTAAAAGCCGGAGTGTCGTACGGTTTTACTTTAAGAGGAATAACGAGCGTCTGAAAGCAGCCGTGGTTCGGGTTGGACTCGTGTGTCTTTAAATCTTGCTTCGTTATTTCCCACATGACTCATTCTTGGTGTTTTTGTCTCAGACTCTGAAAACAGCAGCTTTAAATAGAAACTGAGGCTTCAGCCAAACTTCCTGCGCCTCAAACATCCACAGCTGCTGCTGCCTTCAGGGGGCGTAGGAAACCCCGCACTTACATCAACATGAACCCGGCTGCTGCCTTCGGGGGGCGTAGGAAAAGCAAACATCCACATCAACGCAAACCCAGTCAACCTGAGAGCAAAGCCACTGATAATTAATACTGGATTTATTTGAAAAAAACTTGTTTTTTCTGTCCAGATGTAGATGTTACTGCTGGTTCATTAATCAGCGACATGAAAAAATAAAGCTGTCGAGTCTGTTTTATCCTCTAGTCTGACTCGGGATTAATTTAACTCCACATACAAGTAGAGCTGCAGCAATTAAACAATTAACTGTCAACTGTTTGACTAACTTTTAAAATAAATAGTCAGATTAATCCGTTTGCAGCCTCTTTAATGCGAGTATTATCTGATTTCTTTCCTTCCCTGTGACAGTAACCTGAATATCTTTACGTTGTGGCGAAAACAAGACTATATTTATTTATTTTTTTTGACATTTTATAAACCAAACAACTACTTTGAAAAGAAATTATTTACAAAATGCCTTCATGAGTATTAAATATTTCATAATTTATTCATGAAACATCTAAAATTCTAGATAAAACATCTGAAAATTACTGTTTTCTGACTGTTTCTCAGCCGAACAACTGATCGATTAATCCAGAAAATCATCAACATAACAAATGACAGTGGATTTATTATCATCTAGAGCCTCGTATAGAAGTTTCTAAAGCGACACAACAACTAGTCTGGATCATTAGTCATTAGTCAGATTATTATGACGACAAAAACAAACTGCAAACTGAAATGTCATTTAAAAAAAGTCAATAAAAATGTGTAAATGTATTTTTATCAACAAGACAGAAAGTTATTTTAGTTTAGTCGGTGTTATTGCTGATTATATTCTCAATTAACTGTTTTTTTGGACAGGAAAATAGTGAAAACGGCTCATTACAGTTTCTGTTTATAATAATAATAATAATAGTAATAATAATAATAATAATAATAATTCATTTTATTTGCATAGCGCTTTTCAAGAACTCAAAGATGCTTTATGTGTTTTGTTTGTGCCCAGATTATATAAATAAATCATCAGACTATCACCACTTTAAATGCTGGAAATTTGGGGCTTTTTTTTTTTTATTTAAAAAATGACTGAAAACAATTATTGAATTATCAAATATTATTTCCGAGCTTTAAACGGGTCCCTGAAGGCACCGCAGTAATCCCCTGAAGTAAAGTTTAATCTATAACCGCTACTGTAAATAATCGATAATCAATCAGTGTTGCTGATTATTGATTGTTAGCGGCACATCAGGCTCACCGATGAGCCGCGTCTCTGCTGAATTCACCGCATAAATCAGCCTTTAAAGCGGACGGACGGCCGTGAGCCGCCGCCGAGGACCGTTATGTCTCCATCAGGAGCCTGTTGACCGGCTCCACCGCTCCGTCCCCCCCGACCTGGAGTCCGCTGTCAGCCCGGACTGCAGCCCACCTCTCACGGGGGGGCAGCGGTGGGAGACAGCGGGGCTTCCCAGCGGGCCTGCGACCCTCCAGCTAGCCGGGGTTAGCATGTTTAGCTTAGCCTTCAACTACCGGCGAATGCGTGCACACGGTGGAATTAAAACAACATTTATACCGTTTCTCTGTCACATTTACGTCCTTTAGCTGCTTTTACGACACTTTTCTCCCCAAACTCAGTTAAAATTCGAGTTTGATCCGGATTCTGATTTAATTAACTTAGCTAGAAGCGGCGCACACGGCTAAAAATACACATTTAAACCCAGTTTTGTTCCTCTCTAATGTTGTTGACATCGACTAAAAATAAAGAGTTAATTCTGTTCCCCGGTATGTCGCTCACAGACAGTGTTGGTGGAGCAGCTGTGGCCCTCACCTCAAAATGTCCCGTTTTCTCTCGAAGGAAGAAGCTCCGCGACCACACTCCATTTAAAAATCCGCCAAATTACAACTTAACATCACTCTTTAGGAAAGACGAACACAACTTAAATAAAGTTTGAACTGTTTAAAAGGTGCAAAAATATCCAGTCGTTAGTTCGGCGCATTTAACACCCATTGAGCAGCCCTGATTTAGATTAAATGCCCCCTTTCTTTAAACGCCGTGTACTGCTTGTTAACGCCGCCTCCACGAACACTGGGTCCAAACTCCATTTGAAATACGTCAAATTTAAAGTAACATTAACCTTAACAGCGATGTGCAAAAATAAAAATAAAGAACAAACCGGTTCAAAGTTCAAACACGTCCTGCCTTCAGTTCGGCATATCAAACATCCACCGAGCAGCTCTGGTTTAAATTAAATGCCCTCTTTACTGAAACGCTGTGCACCGTTTAGCACCGCCGCCCCCAGCGGGCAGCGGAGGTCCGGGCAGTGGGGGAAAGTGTCAGTGCGGTTGTAAAAGCAGGAGTTTTAAAAACAGAGATAAATACTGTTGAGTCTGGTGTGTGCCGGATTACAGAGCGGCTCCTGTATTTATGGAAAAGTTCTATTTGACTTATTAAACCCTCTATTTCACTGGTCGCTCATGAGAAAACCGTTAAACAGTCAGATTTTAACAGGGAGTTCCGCGTGCCGGTGTCTCCCCCCCGAAAACAGCGGTGCACCTCGGGGCCGTGCTCGGCCCGCCCCCGCTCCATGAAAACAGCCGCGGACCACCGACGCTGCCCCGCTAAACCCGCCGGACTTCGAGCCCCCGTACCTTGCTGCGGATCTGGCCGGACGTGGACACTTTCCGGATGAGTTTCTGCGGGGTTCCGGGCTCCTGCTCCGGCTCGCTGTCCGATGACTCGTCCAGGCACCGGGCCGCGGCGGACTCCGGTCCCCCTGCCTCCGCCATCCTGCCATTAGACCCCGAGGAGGAGCAGCCCGGGCAGGGAGCGCCCCCCAGCGGCGGAGCCCGGCCAGCGCAGCGGCGGGACGAGGGGGGCGCGGAGGGACCTCTGCTGGTGGAACTGTGACATTACACCTGTTATTATTTTTTCCACAACTCTTTAGAACACATTTTAAAAAAATTTGATTACATATTTTTAAACACTGAAAAATGTGGTTTAATTAGTTTAATCAGTTGATATTCAAACATTTATCAGATATTTAATCAATTTAATCAGATCTATATGAATGAGTTTAGAAATTTTGTTAATATTTTTCTATTTTTTAAATATTTGGGGCATTTAATATTACATTTCTCACAACATTTTTTTCTAACATTTAATTCATATTTTTTCCAGACAATTTATGCATATTTTTAGGGCTTTTTTTTTCATAAAATTACAGACATCATATCCGTATTTTCTAGTAACATTTACATAAATAATCCCCTCACATATCTTCTTAAACATGTTATGACTAAATGTTTAGCCCTTTAGTAATCCCCCCCCCCCCATATATTTAATTTATAGTTTAGTTATTTTAATTTTTATTAGGGTCCGAGCACCCAAAAGGGTGCGAAGACCCTATTGGAACTGCTCGGATTATTATTATTATTCATGCCAAACACACGCGTTTTTGAGGCCCTAAACATACTCGAAAACTCACCAAAATTGCCATGTACATCAGACCCGGTGAAAAATTTTAGAATTTGGAAGAACAATACACACCTCAATAGAAAAATTGCTCCACAGCGCCACCGTCTAAATTGTCAAAAGCACATTTGGCCTAGAGCTACGCAATTTTGTAGGCATATAGAGCAGGTCAGGATGAATAAAAAAGTCAGGCAAAGCCAAGTTGTAAAATGCAACACGGCTCAACGGCGCCCCCTACAATATTTCAACAGATTCCCATTGGGGCTATGTTTGATTTACAACTACTACATTTGCCACACATATGTAATAACTTGTGACGCACAAAAAAGTCCATTAGCATGTTTCTGTAACCTCGACAGGAAATCCGCCATGTTGGAAAAACGGCGACCATGCCATTTTTGGCCATTTTCTAAATCGAACTCCTCCTAGGGGGTTCGTCGTACACACCTGACATTTGGCAGGCACAAACTACAGGACGTGGTGACTAAAAGTTCTTCAAACGCTTCGCAGATGAGGCCTGGTTTGGAAATGGTGGTCCGTCCAATTTTGATCAATGGCCATTTTGGCCATTTTTGGCCATTTTCTAAATCAAACTCCTCCTAGGGGTTTCACCTACACACCTGAAATTTGGTGAGCACAAACTACATGACATGGTGACTAAAAGTTCTTCAAACTGACTCTAGTCACAAGGTTGTTTCACCTACACTGACAAGATTCGCTGGAGATGTGTACCAGGTCAGGACGCACAAAAAAGTCAATCAGCACCAAGCCCTAACCCCAAAAGGAAGTCCGTTATGTTGAAAAACCCTGGTGACAATTTTAGCAATGTTGCCTGAAGGTCGTACACACCTGAAATTTGGCCAGCACAAACTACAGGAGGTGGTGATTA